AGAGAGAGAGAGAGAAGAAGGGATTGTGTTTTTTAAATGAAGCAGGCTTATGTCTCCCTCATCTCTACAGCAGAACACAACTACACTGACTTTAAATGATGAAGGGAAGCAAATCCTTTAAGGGAAAAACGCGTGGCAACATGGAAATGTTAGTTTTCCCCCCCTGTCGTCACCAAGTCTGGTTCTTTGCGTCAGTTAAATTGATTAGTTCGGAAAGATGTAACACAAACACGGCACCACTGGCATTCGTTTCACTGCCAGTGTTGTGGGGAGAGGGTGAGGAGGAGGAGGAGGAGGGGGCGCAGATAGCTGCCAGACCCTTCTCTGTACCGGGTTTTTTATTCAAGGTTAAGTTAGCCTCTGCTCAACAGTGTTGTCACTGGTTGCGGTAGCTCGTTCCCAGCACGCTGGGTCAACGCACGAGACTGGAGTTTACAGTGCAGGTGCGGGATTTATTACCAGAAACGTCACGCGCGCCGTCGTTTAATTGCCCATTAACGGAAAGTAACAATTAATGGCTCGAGCCGCGGTGTCGCATTGTGTTGCCGTTCGACTGTCCCGAAGAGTCAGGCTGGAGGAAGAAGAAAAAAAAAACAATTTAACACCGCCATTGTCTGAACGCTGAATTCCCCTCAAATAAAAAGAGAACAAAAAACATTTGTTGCTTACAGCTGCCCGAACAACACTTTAAAAACACCCTGACCAAATGTTTGTTGGGTTTTTTTTATGGTAGCGGGAAACAGTGTAGCATGCAGCGCCGCAACCCCACATCAGCATCAGCCCCACTTGAGCACGCGAGGGAGACCTGTTAAACCATCAATTATACTGCGGTAGACACACAAACAGCAGTTGTTGCATGTGAATGAAACATTACCACTGAGCACATTTGCCGCCACGTCCGGCTATTACCCTGACACCGACATGTGCCAGACCTAACGAATCACGTTACATGAAAAACACCATAGGTAATGACTCGCATTTAAAAAAAAACAACAACCAACAAGAAGAACCTCACCAGCAGCTGTACGGGTTGTGTTCCTGCTGTTTCCTCTCTCTCCCGACTGGGTTTCCTTGGAGTTAATGAGGTTCTGACGTTTGGTCCGACTGATGACTCCCTCAGCTGTTAGTGTCCACTGGGTTTGGAATTCTTTTTATTTATTTCTTTCTTTTTTCCAGCGGTGAAATAATAGGGAAATCGGCGTCCTCTTGCAAAGCTCTGCCCTCTTCAAACTAACCTTCCCGCCCCCTCCTTCTACCCATCTCAGATTGGTGCTGGCCAGGAGGGGCAAACCCTGAACTGGAGGGCTGCTTTAGAGGCGGCTGTCTGTCACGCGGATCAATGCCCACATGGACATGCGGGTGGACGTTTGCGGGAAGGCTCACTGTTAACCGAGCAGCTTGTCAGTGATGCTCTCGGCAGCTGGAAGGGACTCTTTTTTTTGTGTGTGTGTTTTTTTTTTCTTCTTCTTCTTTTCCTCCCCTCCTCGTGCGTTATTGCACAACAAGCTCCCAGGCGACAGAGAGCAGTGAGTGGGCCCCCTCATTCAGCGGCTCCGGAGCTCGGAGCGGTACTGACGCAGGTGCCCAAAGTCCAACCGCGGCTGACAGAGATGCCAAGCCTTTGAGCTGCTGCTGACAGTGATATAGCAATCTTCATCTGAGTCATTGCAGTAGTAGGAACAGGGGAGGGGGGCAGATCAGTAACACTCTGTGACCTTGGGGGTGGTGTGGTCTGATGGGTGAGAGGAGCTGGGACACAATCTGGGCATGGGGGAGAGACAAATGAGACGTTTTCACCTTCTTCTCAAAGATGTGCTCAAGGTGCCCTTGTGCAAGGCATGCAATGCCACCTCTAACCCCTGCTCATGCAGCAGCAAATAGTACAAGACTGCACTTGTACTGTGCCAAATCCCAGGTGTGTTTGTGTGAATGTTTGTGCCAGCGAGCAGTCTCTGACCTGATTGTGCCACAGGATCGAATACATTGCAACTGGCAAAAAATAGACAAAAACTGACACGATTGACCTGTCAGTCAGCTCTGAGCTCGCATTTGAATAAATGTTACAGCTCTGTGGATCTGATAATTGCTGCAGTCAATTGGCACCATGAATATCTTTTGGATTTATTGTAAAGGCTGATTCTAACTCCTTTTTTCTTTTCTATCCATGCACCCCGATAAATACCCTGTTGTGTTTTCTACATGTTTACTATAATGTCAGATTGCAAAAATGTTGCTTTTTATGTATTTCTTTAGTCAAATAAACAGAAAACAGAGATTTCCTCTTACAACGTAAAGTGAAATGGCACTTTAATGCTGCGTGCTTCATTTTGTGCTTCACAATTTACAATAGTTAAATTATGTCATGTTCTGTCAAATCCCTCATCTCTGATAAATAACATTACAATATTACTCTTTACAATGGTGTTCAGACTGCCCTTAAATATACATTATTACTGCTAACAGTAGTATCTACAGTTGGCGCTCTAGATGCTCATGCAGTCAGACTGCTGTAGCAAGTGGTAAACCAAATGAATACTTAATATTCATGAGTAATAAATGAGCAATTTTTGCAGACAAAGCCCTCTGAGATAGGTTATCATTTCAGCTCAAATGATGCCCGAACCTTCGGGAGACCTTTTAACTGTTTAGACCTTAGACCACGACAGACCTCCCTTTTGAAAATGAAATGCTCAGTACTCTCTGTATTTCTACCAATAACAAGAGATTGTGCTTTCTGTCACATTTTATTCATCTTGGATACATCTGTGCCAATAACAAAGAGCTGTGATTCTTGTGCTGTGACTCTTTCACCTGGCTTTTCTGAAAGGGACAGGGGAACACAGGATTCCTCTCTGTGGGCTCCACCCCAAGGTTTCTTAGATCCCTAATTAAGTTGCTGTGGAAGGGTTTCCCCTCGTTGTTGCTCAGGGTCTAAGGTCGGGGTGCCATTTCCATTTATCATTTTCATTTATTTTTTCATTGTGAAGTCCTTTGAGACTGTAATTGTAATTAGAGGCTGTAATAAACTTGATTTGCTGTGAGCCCCTGCGGGCTGGGAGAGGGAGAGGTGCCGGCCAGTTCTGCCAAGGAGGATGTGAGCCACAAATAGAGACAGAGTTTGGGTGTTTGACAGTAGGTCCTGTGTGCATATTTTAGGGTGAAATTCATCCATGCAGCCCGAAGCTAAAGGGTTCCCTTCCTATATCACCAATACCACCTGCTGTGTAAGCTTATTTCTTTATTCTCTGTCCTTATTTGTTTTTATGTGTGACCTCCCATGGCATAAAGGATCTACTAGGACTTCTTATGAAGAAAATGTGACCAGTTGAAAGTATGACATTTAACACCTATTACACATTTTATTCACTTGTATATCTCCTTTAATATATGTGACTAAGCATGAAGCCCAGTGTGCCATTACCACTCTTTCTGCAGTTACCAAGGGTCTTATAGTTTGCTTCCTTTCAATAATTCCTTGAGCTGGCATAATGATGCCCTCTGGCTAATAATTATAAACTCTGGAAAGTGACACTGAGATATGTGTATGTCTCGGCTGCTTTTGTTAATTAGTCCCAGCCTGTGGACAAAGATGTATTGGCTTTTGGAAAAACTGTACGCAGGGAAAAATGTGACAGTTTGTTTAAAACTGGACTTGACAAATATTGTACTGGAGAAACTGTACAACATAAGGAAAAGATTTATTGGGTAGATACTTGATAAGTGCAATTTTTAATAATTTTATAGCTTTAGGAATTTATTTGGTAGTCATTAGCTCATAAATCTGACCATCACTGCAAATCCAGGTCCAAACACTGTAATCCCTGTAGAGCCTCAATTGTTCGAGAAGCAGACTTGAGACTCAAGGATTGTCAGCGCCCAGTCAAGTTCAGTTTGGACTTGAATGAGAAATTCTTATCACTCGATAACAACTACTTCTGGGGGTCACTTGGAGTGAAACACTTAGGCCTCGAGAGGTGCTGCTGTGCTGCCCAAACGGTTGCTCCCGGTGGCTCCGAGATGTGAACACGTGTATCCGAATGTCATGTTGGCAAGCAATCTCATTGTAAGATACCAACCTTCTCGCTTTCTTCTTTTCTCTGCGCCTAATGAGTGTGACCTTTTCGACTTTTTCTTTTGTATTCCTGAAAATGAGGCTGCTGTTTTTCCTACATTCATTATCGTATATTGAAAAAGGGGAGCCCGCGCTCTGGCTGTTGTGTGTGTGCCCAGGTCTGAGCCACAGGTGCAAGGGTTGTCACGGCTGATAAATAAATGCAAGATTTGAAGACTTGATGCATTTTCTGTCATGAAGACAGAGCAGCGAGTTAGATTCTTACAGATGGGCGCATTATGTCGTCACATAATATAAATCAGTAATTGACTACCCACTGTAGAGCCGCCTTGTGGCCGCCCCAAATAGCTTCTTAAATGAATGAACAATCAATCCCATCACTACGCGTAAAACAATGTGGATGATGTGTAAAATGTGACAAAATGTATATATTTACAGACAAGTTGAGGCAGTAAACACAAGTGATGCGTGCCACATCAGCTCGCCATCAGCTGATCCCAATTAGCTAATTACTGTGAGCATTTAACGCCAGGCAGTCATTGAAGCTGTCAGCTCTTCATTTAAGCCATCAGCTCTTCTGTCATTCACTGCTCATTGTGTGGATCCCCCCACCCCAGCCTCTTCCTGTTCTGGTTCCCTAGTAATCAGGTACACTCGCAGTGGTATGTTTCTGCAGGCCTGTCCCTCGTAATGATGTGCATTCCACATCTCAGCATTTTGTATTTGCAGGTCAGTTCACCACCGGGGCGATCACATCATGAGGTGTGTAGATTTTGACAGGGAGAACCGCCAAGAGTCTGTGTTGCCAAATACCAAGTGCGTAAACAGTTTTACAATAATAGTTTTCACTTCATGACAGGAATGTTTCTGGTTTAAATGTGCACATTTACTACGGAGCCAAACTTTGCATTTAAATGTTGTATATTGCTTTAGGAGGAAGTGCTGTGATCGTCACATAAAAATCAAGCAACACAAATCATTGTCAACCGTATAATTAATCACCAAATGCTTTGGGACTCAGCTCATAAACACTGTCATGGCTCAAAACAGAAACTTGATGCTAATTGCTTTTGAAAAATATTGTTGCTTGTTAACAAGTCCCCCCTCCATCCATCAATCTGTCCTCTTTCTGTAACGGTTGTGCTGTCTCCCAGAGTCTTCACTCCTGGACTAAACGCGGTGACAAAATGACCCAAGGTCAATCAGATCACCATCAGGGGTAAAAGAATTAGCCTGTAAAGTAATAAAGTACGTCCATCCACAATTCCAACCACTAGCCACTGACTTTTCGCAGCACTAAAAGACTGTTGCGCTACTTCCTGTTGGGCACAGATTATAGCCTCCAGCTGCCATAAATCTTATTTATCTGGGACTTTTTTGTACATATTTATTTATTTTTTTAATTTAGTTTTCATTTAATTTGTAATTTTGGAGGGGTGCTTCTTAAACTTATAAGATGATGACTTCCACATGGTCTCATGCTGCTCAAATAAAATCCCCTCAAAGACTCAGCAGCAATCTGAATTCAGACCTTTTAGCTCAAAATAATCCCAGATGGGACTCTGGCATTTCACACACAAGATGTGTAGCCGCATCGAGGACAAGAGGTGCTCATGGCCAAACTCGACGCTCTGCAGCAGTGCTTCTCAGTTCTGGTTTTTGGCACTTGGCACTCTGGGTATTGCTGGCTTTCTATACCATCACCTCATTAATTAAAGCTCATTGTATTCTGGTGCTTAATAAGTCCTTGATTAGATGACTGAAATAAAGGCCAAGAACGTATTTAAACTGAAAGCCCTTTTAACAGTCGTCCCCAGATGTATATATACAGCAGGCCTCGTGAGACTAGATGAGTGCTGCATGTCCCAGAAGTGCTATAGCCTATCTGGCTGTTGTGCACAGAGCACAAGTTTACATTTGTTCTGAAAACTAGTTCTCTGGAGATTGCACAGGTTTGTGCTTCTGGATCAGACTGACTTACGTTCCCAGTTGTGCATTTGTGCTGTTTATTTCACAAAGTACAGCTTTTCTAACTTGGCAAAATACTGCAATGCACTCTTTATACTGTATGTATGTGCATATTTTATAAGGTAGTTGTGTGTACATACAAGCAGTTATTCACCAACTATACTCTGTACTCTATACTATATAAGAGTATACTTGGTGAAACTGGAATTGTTCTGAATAAGAATACATAGAGATGAGTACTATGCTGTTGGCAAGTTGTAATGTCATACAGACATACTGTATTGCTTAATATAGCCACCACATTCAGAAGCTGTACTGTATCTTTATCTAGAGTCTTATCTCAAATTTTATTATGGTAACACACATTACTAACACACAGAAGCTGTGTCACTCCAACCATTTTACAGCTGAACAGTATCATTATGAGTAAAATAAAACAAACTTAAAAAAAAAACTACTCAATTAAGAGCTGGCATAAAGATTATGTTTCCTGTTTTGTCTTCACATCTAACAGGATACCAATCAGGTAATTCAATTCTACGTCTGGTTTATATAAATAAAAACCATCCAATTGAAGCTTTAAGTCAGCTCAGTCTTGTCCTTCGATTAGCCTTATGGTGGTCTGAGCTGCAGGAAGATGCACCAACACTGCAAG